AGGACAACAGCAGAGAAACCTGACAGCAGCACTGATGCTGAAATCTGGTCTCTCTGCCTTCCTCCAAAGTTGGTGGACAGAGAGGCTCTTCATAGATGCATTTCAGAGCACCGAACGCAGTGCCTGCTCTGGAGTACCCGTGGGCATGGGAAGGAGAATGAGGACACTGGTCCCCCTGGGTTGAAGTTCGTGAGCCTCTGCCTTTCCTCTACCTGTACCACAGTGATGATTCCTTTTCTCCCTCTTTTTAAGAGGTGATCTTCCCTTGGGCCATGCAGGAGCACAAAGGAGATCCTGGAACTGTATTTCCACCATTTCCTTGCTACATAGCAAGGGCATGATGACATACATCCCTGTTCCTAACTTCACTAGCTAGTTTCAGGGTTCGATTTAACTTACATTGAATGAGTTAGCAAGAGATGGTACTAAACGTGCCCGCAAGGGGTCAAACATAGATGTAAACTGGTGAAATTTCCCCAAAGGCTTTTCTAGGAATAGATGCGGGAAAGCAGGAGTCAGCACACAACAGACCTTCTCCTTTGCAATTCACGTTTCCCCCTCAAGGTCCTTCCCTGACTATAAGGCGACTGGATACAATTGCCAGCATGGCCTCTAGTGCATCCCTGCAACAATTCGGTCACAGAGGTGGGGGTGACTGAGCTGTCCCTACCGCTTTTTCTGCCTAGGCATAAAAGAAAGGCAAATCCTCAGCCTCTTCCCCAATGTGTTCCTTAAAGTCACTGTGTCTGCTCAGATTACAGCTCGCATTTCAGTAGACAGGAGAGCATGAGTCACATATCTGACCCAAAGTCGAGAAGGATCCATAGCTTACGAGACCAGAGCAGAAGGAACACACCATCTTCAAAGGCAAAGGCTGGTGCTTAAGGACCCTGCTTGTTATCCCATTTGTGCTAAAGGCCTCCCTCGACTCTCGCAATATGGCATCCCTTCAGTTAGCTCATGGAAAGATAAATCGTCAAGTATTCAAAGGGGAAGGTTCTAATGAAGAAGCTTGAACTGCTTTAAGAATTGCTAAAAAATAAAATAAAATCAATTACAGAACTATTACAAGTAACAGATGATTCCAGAGTGTTTCCAGGGCTGAGCTTGCTCCCATGCTGACTTTAGCTGCACTCTTGTGGTTTATCTTCAGAGCAGTTTCCCTGAGAAAATAATTGTAGTGCCTTTACTCTAGGGCCATGCATGTCCCAGATGAACCAGGCCTCTTTTTGCACATCAGCATTCATTGTCCGGGTGAATTAAGTGCTGTGCTAAACGATGGAAACTCTGCCATGCCAGCCCACATCAACGGTTGCCTCAGCCTTCCCCACCCAGTCTCTAATTTTCTTCTGAACAATAAGATGTGAATCTGGAGACAGAAATGTTCAATGGAGAGCTGAATGAGGGGGTAGCAACCATGGAAAAAAACGTGCGTGTCTGCGTGCATGGATGTGTCCAAAGCCGTGTCAATGGCATGGCCCCTCTGAGGAGGTGGGACATGACCGGGGAGGGCACTGGGTAGAAGCAGCTATTTCTGGCAGCTATTGCTGCGTGCTGCAGCATGGCAACACTCGGCTCGTGCAGCAGCCCTGGGAGCTGGCACGCAGGGATCAATGCTTGCGTATGGAGGAGCAGGAGACGGAAATGCCCCTGCAGCTGAGCTGCCCATCTCCTCGGTGTGGAGGCATGGAGGAGGAGCGGTGCAAGGAGCACTTCTAACAATTGGCTCTACCAAGCAGGGCCAAGTTTCCCACCACACCAGGCCCAGGGCTGCACGGGACAAAGGGCTGTAGGTCTGCAGCAGCGCCTGGGAAGAGCTGGCTAGCTGCTGCAGAAAAGGAGGAGGGAAGCTTGCTGCGAGGCTTTGCCCTAGCTGCCAGACTGTCCTGCTGAGCTCCAACTCTGTGTTGTTCTGAGCAAGGACCATGGCTTTCGTGGCTGCCGGTTGCTCAGGTTACGACTCACAGCCACAGAAGGGATCAGCGCGGTTCTCACTTACTGCGCTGTGGAGCACTGTGTCGCTGTCTGAGCCCATGTAGATGAACCGCCAAGTTACCTGCTTGAGGTGGGTCATCATCGAGTTGAGTTATTCTCCTTTCCCCCCCCTGCATTGATAGCAGGGCAGAAACGAGCCTTTCTACTTGTTCTCTTTCTGTCGTCTTTTCCATGCTGCCTCCTGGGGTTAGAACTACAGCCTGCCTCTGACTTCTAAGGTGGTCTTCCAACCCAGGATCAGCCCAGCCCTGCTTAGCTTTGTCAAGTAGGCAAAACCCACTGTGCTCACCTCAGTGCAACTCACATAAGCTCAACTTCATGGCTTTATGCTTACGGAAATTATTCTTCTGTGGCTGATGATGGAATTTTTTCTATCTATCTGATCAGCAATATTTGATGTGTGTTGAGGGCGAGTTCATCTGGGGTGAAGAGCATATGTCACTCCCCTAAAAAGCAATTTGGTTTTTTGGGGAGATATAAATAGCTGACTTTGTTGTGCTGGTCATGCACGCTGGTGTTGGCACGAGGTGTATAACGTCTAACTGTGAAGTGGTGATGACTAGTGTGTTCTCATTTCTCCATAAAACTTTGCATGCTATGCCTGATATGGATTTTTATTCTGTCACTTGATCACTACAAAGATGCATTCATCAAATGCAATGACTGCCATATGAGCCAGTCAACAGGGAAAGTCCTTCTCTCCAATGCGCACAGCCTGTTACTCTGAGTCTATCTGCAGTAGGGGAAAACAGGCAGGACTTACAAAGCTAACTGCCTGCTCCGGGCAGAAAGCATGGAAAGCTAGGGAACTTCTTTATGCCTCCCTCCCAAATCACTTATCAGTTTGTGCTATGCCATGCCATTTGAGACTGATT